AAAAGGGTTGTCTTCCACTCAAAGTCGAATGAGAAGAGAATTACCTTAAAAAACTCTTCGCATGAACCAACGTGTTTGATTTTATCTGTACTGGCTAGCGACAAGTTATCGCCTAGGACTAATTATCGCCAACTCCCCGTTATAACGCGCACGTGATCGCATCTCATTTTACGTATGCTCGTTTTCATCAGAAGAAAGAAATGTTTATCCGAAAATGATGAACAAAACGGACTCTTGTGAGGATTTTTTTTTTACCCCCCCCCCACCATAATCAACTTGCTCAAAAACAACTCTAGAAAAGACGCGCAGGCGGTGTTACGTGACGAATTCACGCGAACTACTCGTATAAATCAAACACCACGATGATGCACTTTCAGTTCTGTCACTGCTTTCTATCTGTCTGTCATTTCTTTCCCCAAATACAATTCTGAAACCTATTTGAGCTATATTTCCAAAAATACATAGCCTGTGCTGCAGGACACAACTGTTTGACTCTTTGAAAGCCAAAGAAAACACTGTAAGCCCCTCTCTCTATTTCAACATTAAAGTTTGTATTGCTGTATCCTGAATACAGAACTGTTTAGTGTTGGCAAATCAACAGATGTATCAATTAGATCGTCCTCTGGTCTTGGCATTAACGTTCACATGACAAGATTACTCATGTGTGTATATTTACACGTGTGTGCAAATATACACACATATGTGAAGAGGTGCACGTGAACAGGGTATTATTATAGACACGCCATCAATGTTGTCAGCGATGTAAACAACCACAAGCAGTGTCATTAAAATAATTATTGACTCGTCAGTTTAACCTCTCTGATCCATAGATCTTATCCTCACTTAATACTCGTTAGAACTGGTTCATCAGTACTCAACCGTACCCTGTACGTTCCACTGCCAAAAAACACCAGTAAAACGAGTCGTAATATCAATTATCGGCGGTTAAGACTGTACAGTAGGTTATGTTAATAAACTTATATGTTTCTCTGTATTTGCCAGTATTTTTTTGTTTTGTTTGTTTATTGCTTAATGCCGCACTCAGCAATATTCCAGCTATATCACGGCGGTCTGGAAATAATCGAGTCTGGACCAATCATTCCGGTGATTGACATCATGAACATTGATAAACACAACTGGGATATGATGACATACATAGACCAAGTCAAGGAGCCTGACCACCCGATCCCGTTAGTCGCCTCTTACGACAAGCATAGTCGCCTTTTACGGCAAGCATGGATTGCTAAAGACCTATTCTACCCCGGATCTTCACGGGTCTAGTAGTTTTTGTTTCATTCAGGATCAGAACCTCTGTTAATGTTATGACTGTTACGAAACAGAGGACATGCATGGCACACTGCGAAGTCTCGTAATGCACAAAAACACGCGACAGGTTGTTTGAAAATAGGGGAGGCACCCCCTGCACACACCCCTCTGGATTTAGCCTGTAACACACACTACATCGGGATAGTAAGGTCGTGATATCATAATTATACGATACGACACATGTAAAACCTAAGCTATATTCCATAATCAAAGCCAAAGTTGAAGGAACAATGGCTCTAACTCTCTTCTATATACCTTTAGAAAAATGTTATATGTCTTTCACACTTTGTGTGGATCGAAATAACAGCCCGACACCACTCTCGCGTTGGGAAACCAAGTATCGCTATACAAGGATGCTCCAGTGAATCGCGTTACAACCCTTATAACATACTTAATAATGATGATAATAATAATACTATATCATATAACATATTTAATTATATATTCCTGCACTTACCTTATTATCATGTTTATCGTTTCCTCAAAATTCACAGATGAGGAAGAATCCCGTTGAAAAAATGTTTCTGCGTTTGATAGCCTTAATAATGCATATCACAAAGCAAAATTTCAATACGAACGTTTACCTTACCGCGTGAATAGTAGAAACAACAAAACTATGTATCTAAGCTGAATTCTTACCGGCTTTTGGGGAATAATTTGACATTATCCGGTTCAGTTTTAAATAAACGCCCCTTCTGCGTCCATTCATGTCGTCTGGAATTAACGCGCATCCAAAACTCGTGCAAAGGATTGTGAGCCCCGATTGGTTGAAATCGTAACCATGACATCGCGTGACTATCCTGGCGAACACCTGCGTGAAATCTACAACTTTTCGAACCACAATTGACATTTGTTTATGTTAAAAGTTTAAAACGACGAAGCGACTTTAAGAGCGACTCTGTCGGTGGTTAAAGTGTTGTCTCTTCAAGGGAGAAACCGGGTTCGATTGTTTACATGAGTACAAGGTGTGTTTTTGTCTCCCATCGTCATATTGCTGGAATAATACTTAAGGCCAAATTATGACATTTTATATTATCATTGTATTCAAATCGGCTTTGAAACAGTTTACTTTGCATGAATGATGTGGTCGTGCTGGTTCGGGAAATACGCAATTCGAACACTCGTTTCGTAAAATCAGTACGACATTCACTACCCTATAATAATCTCCCACGTGGGTACAATGTGTAAAGCCCATTTCAGATATTGCTAAATATATACCCTGACATTGCTAAAATCGGCCTAACACTCGTTCATTCATGTAATATTCTTTCATTATTATTAATGTATCCTGAATTATTAATGTTAATAATAAATGGAGGACTTCATACTTTCTTGCGAGATCCTTTTTTTTTTTATCTCATCAAGTGAATGAGAAATGTCAACATAGGTCCAGTCAAGAATAAAAATGTCGATTTTCATTCAACCCCTTTCTATCATTCGTCACCACTCGCCCCTCTCCGTAACCTACATATCCCGGAATAACACGAGCTGGTCACGAATCCCTTTCTATGAGTCTCTTCTAAAATCTAAAGCGTTTATGTTTTCCTGACATAATTTCGTAATATCGATTTTCATACGATACTCTCATAATTAGTTACCCATTAAGTACTTTGTTTCCCGTAGCAATACGATTGCGAGGTGCCGTTTTCAGATAAACCTTTACATCTCGAATATCTTGTCTAAGCACCTTTCTAGTTTCCTGATTATACATCCACGCCGTTCATGGTCGTATCGCGAAACAAAGTATACTGACATTTTCACTTCGCGGTCCAGGGGCCGGGTCATTTTATGGTCGCTTCATTGACCGTGGATTTTCCGTGTCCCGATCCTGGTTAGAATTGGGTAATGCTTGTCGTAAGAGTGAGTGAGTGAGTATGGTTTAACGCCGCTTTTAGCAATATTCCAGCAATATCACGGCGGGGGACACCAGAAATGGGCTTCACACATTGTACCCATGTCGGGAATCGAGGCCGGGTCTTCGGCGTGACGAACGAACGCTCTAATCACTAGGCTACCCGACCGCCCGGCTTGTCGTAAGAGGCGACTAACGGAACCACACGGTATAGGATCGCTATACTATAGGAATTAATAACACGCAGTTCCCTGTGCACATTACACGAGCATTTGCGTCAATTCGGATCAATCAAGGTCAGGTAAATGATTCAAAAACATGAAAATGCAATTCAAGTGGATATTTTTGGTGAAAGGTGAGGTGAAATGAGATGTGACGTGGCGTCCAAGATTGTTGCACTTATTTTGCGACGTGGATGCACGTGTTTGTGTGTGTGTGGCTGCTTGTACTAGTCCGGGCTATACTGACTCCGAGCCGACCAGTCCTTGTCTTAGCCCCTACATGCCGAGCGCCAGACAGGGTAACAACAAGTACCATCTTTTATCTTCTTTTGGTGTGAAGCGGCCGTGGATCGAACCCAGTACCTTCCGCTCTCATTTTCTGTTGCTGAAAATGTGATAATTACACTTTTGTGCATGTTCTGTCAAAGTATGAAACTTTTTCTTCCTCTGTTTCAAAATATAGATGTGTCGAGATCGCAATCAAGACTACACCTCTTTGACTTGTAACTTCCATATAACATTATACTATCGTCAAAAGAAGTAAACAATACATCAGAATTATTCGTAATTCATTTAGAAAATGTATGTGTATTTTTCAAAAATCTTGTAGTATATGTAATATGAGTGATAACAATGAAGACCCTCCAAACATGACTGTATGCATTACCCAATACAGTACTGTGCAAACCCGTGAAGATCCGAGGTAGAATTTGGTCTTCAGCAACCCATGCTTGCCGTAAAAGGCGACTATGCTTGTCGTAAGAGGCGACTATCGGGATCGGGTGGTCAGGCTCCCTGACTTGGTTGATGCATGTCATCGTATCCCAATTGCTTGGATCGATGCTCATGATGTTAATCACTTGATTGTTTGGTTCAGACTCGATTATTTCCAGACCGCCGTGATATAGGTGGAATATTGCTGAGTGCGGCGTTAAACAACAAATAAACAAACAAACGGTACCGTGCAAGGAATGGGTTGTTAGGATCGCTTACTTGATTGATGCATGTCATCGTATCCCAAATGCCTAGATCGATGCTCATGATGTCAATCATTGGATTGTCTGGTCCAGACTCAATTATTTACAGATCGCCGTCCTGTAGCCAGAATATGGCTGAGTGCGGCGTTAAACAGCACACAAACAACCAAACAAGCAAATAAACAAACAAACAAATAAGACACAACTGTATTGGTGACATTGGTTTATTCTGGACACAAAAAGATGCAACACGAGCACAATAGTGTACGTTGATCGATATCCTGACGTGTGAGAAATTCTACACCTTAATATCAACGTCTCACAGAACACTTACCTCAGTCTATATACGTGGCCAGCACAATTCGTGGAGTCAAACATTGATGAAGGTACTGGATAACAATAATGATGATAACAACAACAACAACAATAACAACAACTTTAATTTGATTTGATTTGAAATTTAGGTTCAGATTTAACTCAGATATGACGCGTCGCCCAAGGCACATCTTAAATTTAAAACGTAAATTTAAGAGCCGTACGTAAAATCCTCAGCAGGTGCCCTATCACCTGGCAACCAAGACGCGAACAATTGAAAGGGAAGTAACTCTTATACTACATCCGGGATTGGAACATACCTCTATTTTCATAACATGGGGAATTTCGCTTGATGTTTTTTGCGTGTTTACGATCTGCAGGGAATACACGTTCGATAACATTGATTATGGACTCATCCAAGAAACCTACAGCAAGTAATCGCCAGCTGACATGTTATATGTGCATCTAAATACTCACTGCTTCTACAAGAAGTCTCACGTTTGTTTTAGCCAGATATTTATGACTATGAGTTTGGTAAAAAAACAACACGGCGTCTTGGAAAAAAATCACTTACAGTATGCCACAGACACCACATCAACATTATTAATGAACGAATGAATCATTAATTTTGTGTGTTTGTTTTGCATGACTGCAAACGGATGTAATTTAGACAGTGTCCAGTTTGTCTGTTAAAGCAGTGTTTTTCTGTGGCCCGTGATTCTCGGGGCTGTCTGAAGGGATGACTTCGTACAGTGTCACTTGCAAACTCGGCGAGGGGAGCTTTGCTAAAGTGTTTCAGCTGTGTTCAGTGGACAGGGACGAGGGACAAGATGTAAGTAAACAACGTTTCATTACTGTTGTCACTTAATACATATGTTAGGCCCGTGGGGATGCCAGGTAAGAATATATTTGTCCCCAGCAACCAATTCTTGTCACAATGGATCAGCTGGTCAGACTTGGTTGATGCACACCTTTGTATCCGAATTGCATGGATTGATGCTCGTGATGTCAATCACTGGTTTGTTTGGTCCATTCGAGATTATTTGCAAACCACTGTCATATAGCTGGAATATTGCTGCGTGTGGCGTTAGAAAACAGACAAAACTATACATATATTTTAAATTAATTTCTGCATTTCACCTGTGGGGACTTGAAGCAATCCCTGTTTCAAAATTTTGATTCAAAACAGACATTTTTTTATCCTCTTCCCTGGCGTGTTACAGAGCTACAGAAAAGCAGCGTATTAGGAATGCATAAAACCTGTGGTAACCTAACTTTTCATGACAATGTTTCCATTTTTATTTGTTTTTTTTGCTTTTTGTATATGTGCTCCTAAAACATGTTTTTGATATGGGATGTAGTGATTTTGTACCCAAAACTAAAAGGGTTTCTATTTTATTACGATATAATAGAGACTGATCCAGTTTATTGTGGTTGCAGATCAGAATATAGAACCCCAGTATTCATGATTGTCCTAAGAACTGACTAAATCATGACTGTGTAGTAACAATATATTGCGTGTCAGATTTTGTGTCTGACTGAATGGATTGTTGCTCATATATTTTTTCAATATTTTGATAAAAAAAATTTACATTGCTTTTATTTACCATCAGCTGTGATAGAACTTGAATATTGCAGACTGTAGTGTTAAATACCTTTCACTCACTTACTCAACTCTGTAGACTGTTTGGTTTTGACATCCACTGGAAGAAGGCCAGGTGTCCTACCACAGCAGGGCCCACTTGCACAAAGCAATCTTAGCGCTAAGATGATCATAACTCCCATACTTTAACGTAGGCTTACAATAGTCTTAGGGCTAAGATCGCTTTGTGCAAGTGGACCCAGGTCTTGTAAAACAGTATAGATATGAAATCATGTAAATACTCCTAAATTACTATGACTAGTCATATTGACAAGTCATATTGGCCATGAAGATCAAATCAACTGATTCATTTTGGCATTGGTCTGTTTTGAGGCTTGCTGTCTAATAGTGAATGAGCGTGTAAAGTTTTATGCTGCTCTTAGTAATATTCCAGCAATATATCAAAGAGGTCACCAGAAATGGGCTTCACACATTGTGCCCCGAGGGGAGTCGAACTTGTGTCTTTGGCAAGATGAGCAAACAGTTTAACCACTGCCCAGGGTCTCTGATAAAAGATGGGCCATTTTATAGTCGGAAGAAATATTTGCTGTTGTCGTCTTTTACAGGAAAGAAGTACTCACATTTTATGATATCAAAACAGACCAATGCCAAAATGAATGAGTTGATTTGGTCTTAATGGCCAATATGACTTGTCAAACCTGACCAGTGTTTGTCTAAATGGACCAGTGAAATATCACATTGAAAACGAAGACCAAATGTTTAATCATATACAAAGTATGTAAATAGAACAACATTTGTCGGAGCTTGTTGCTTGCCTGATTACATATCTGAACAAGTATTTTCGATCTGATTTGTAAAAAGAAACTGATTATGTCCTCTGATTGATGATAAACTCCTGACTGATAAAATATGATGAAATAAAATACTACTCAAAAGAAGTTAAGGATCACCTGATTCTTTCATATTACAATAGTTAATCTCTCATGCCATGACAGATTAACATTACCAATATGAAAGAATCGGCGATCCTTAACTTCTTTTGAGTAGTATACAAACAATATGTGCCATCCATTGGTTTTACAGTATGCCTTGAAAGTGATCGACAAAGATCGCTTCTCCCACGATGAACGAGACAAGTGCATCCAGGAAGCCAAGCTGATGAGGAAACTGAGGCATGAGAATGTCGTCGCCTGTTTTGATGCCTTTGAGTATGAGAACCACCTGGTCCTGGTGACAGAATACTGCCCCCGGGGCGACATGTACTGTTACCTTGGTGACTGCCGCGATGCCAAACCTCAAGACCCTGTATCAGAGAACAGGATCTCCAGATGGGTGCTGCAGATTGCTAAAGCTTTGCAGGTGAGCTACGTTTTTGTAAAATGCAATATACAGTGATACAGATTTTCATGCTGAGATATTGTAGTGGAATGAAACATCCTGTTTTGTTTATCGTTTAACGCCACACTCACCAATATTCAAGCTACATGTATATGACGGAGGTTTGAAAACAATTGAATGAGGGCCAGACGATTCAATGATTGTGTCAGGAGCTTCAATCTATGCAATTGGGATCGATGACATGCATCAACCAAGTCAGTAAGCCTGACCACCCGATCCCGTTAGTCGCCTCTTACGACAGGCATAGGTTGCTGAAGACCAATTCTTACCTGGATTTCATGAAACATATGATTTTAGTGGGCATTAACTCAATTAGTGTTAACAATTCGATATTGTTTTAAGCTTACATACTATAACAATTCACTTTGTTGAGATATGATACATTTCTTGATGGTATGGTCATGATACGATACACAATTTTATAAATGAAAATGTTTGTCATTCAAGGAGTCATATGGTCAAGGGGAATGCATAGAAGCCAAAACGTATTTGAAAGTAGCATTTTAAATATATTATCATATTATCTTACATGTCATCCTTCACACACTGGAATTGTTTTGTATCGGTACATATGATTACAATATGATACTTGTATCATGGTATAGTATTACTGTACGCACAATGTTTGGTTAACCTCTATACATCACACAGACCTCCTCCGTGGTCTAGAGGTAGAGCGTCCGCCCGGAGAGCGGAAGGTCCGGAGTTCAATCCCCAGCTGCATCATACCAAAAGACGTTAAAAGATGATACTTGCTATTACACTGTCTGGCGCTCGGCATTAAGGGGCTAAAACAAGGACTGGTCGCCTCGGAGTGGGTATACTGTGTCTGAGTTAAACTGCGGCATGGTATCTCAGTGAGCTAGCACTATAAATCAACATCAGTCTGGACTAGTACAAGCAGCCACAGATACACGTGCATGCACGTCTCTATATAAATGCAATAATCTTGGATGCAACGTTAAACCCAATTTCCTCTCACCTATACAACATACAATATAGAAAACTGGTTTAGAAGCAGTACATTGTTCAACATAATCATGATAATGTCCTTCATACTTTTCCGTAAAATACTAAACTGCATAAACTTTTATGTTTTTTTATTTCAGTATCTGCATGAAAGGAAAATTCTCCACCGAGACCTGAAGACAAAGAACATCTTCCTGATGGATGACTTAACTGTGAAAATAGGAGACCTCGGAATTGCCAAGTGAGGAAGAGAAAAGGACACTGCCTTTTCCATGTTTATAGAGAACTATTATTTCAGTTCGTTAGCACTTTGTCATATTAATTAAACAACAAAAATGATAATAAAGAAATAGGTTTAAACATGTTATAGTGTGATTCCAATAATGTGAACAACTCTAGATTTTCAGATCACCCAAAGAATTGTTCTATTAACATGATTAAGGAATATATAACAAATATTTTTTATCATGGATTTTATTTAGACTAACAAATGAATGGGTTCTTTTTGACTAAATTTGTCATGCCAAGGAGTCAAAGTAATATTTCATCTATTCATGCATGCACTTATATTTCATCTCCTCAAGAAATTGGTAGGGTAGTTTTTTTTTGATGGTCGCAATGTGTGATCTGGTTGCCAGTGTCATCGTAGCAATATGGTGTGGATTGTTGTTCATGCTATTGACAGCTGGTTTATCTGACCTAGATTTCATTATCAAATTATGGACAGGCTGCTGTGACACAGCTTGAACATGGCTGAAAACAACATTCATTCACTCAATTTGTTGTGACATGAACAAATGAATAATTGCATTATAATGGCAATTTGTTATCCTTAAATCCCCAAACTGGCACTAAAATACTAATTTTCTGTAATATTTGCATAATTTCTTCAGAATACAGTTAATGCAGTGGTAGGAAATATGTATTTGGGAAGTCTGTTTGGTCTAGACCTAGTTGTCAAGAAGACACAATACTGAACAAGTGTTTGTTTGCAGACAGTTGGATTTCACACTGGCCCAGGCCGATACGTTCCTGGGAACGCCCTTGTACATGAGCCCCGAGATATTCCAGTTCCAGCCCTACAGCTACAAGGTGAGGGTCGTCCAGTACTGACAGGGCTATCTTAGAGCTACAACTGTCTTAGATGTCATATTTTACAGTTACAGATGCTGCAGCACTAAGATCACTTTGTAGAGTAATGCCCAGGGTGTCGTTGTACAAAGCGATCTTAGCGCTAAGATGAACTTAATGCCTAACTTCAACATAGACATACGACAGACGTAGACGTAAGGTTGTTTGGTGCCATGACACCCAGGCCCCTTTTCTCAAAGCAGTCGTAGCACTAAGACAGTCTTAAGTCTATTTTAAAGTATGGGAGTTACAATATCCTCAGTTCCAACCCTACAGCCACAAGGCATAACACGTGTCTGAGCCATGTGCGTTAATTGTCGTAATTACTTGGGGAGACACAATACATTGGTGCAGCGATTGATCGTGAGTTTTTATGCGACGATGTGATACGTTTTTTCTGTATCGATATAAGACAATAGGTCTAGGTTAACAAAATTACTTACTGCTCGTTTAATGACATCCTGCGTTTGACCCCTACAACTGTAAACCTTTGTTGAAATATTAGTGTTTCAACAGTCGTGCCATCCTATATTATCCAGCGTATTAATTCTCCATTTCTTAATGATCAATACCCTGGACTTGCTCTCAACTTCGTTTTCTTATAGGTCAGGGGTATATAGTTATACCAAAGTTCTGTCAGTCCGTCCGTCTGTCCTCCCCGCGATTTCTCTTAAACTATTCAGTGGATTCATCTCAAACTTAGTACATAAAATCTGTGTCATATGGAGGGGTGCAGTCAAAAGAAAAAAAATGTTTTTATTAATTTTCCATTTTTTTTATGAATTTTTCAAACCCTAACCCTATCCTAGGTATTTAATTTGAAACTACTGACACACTAGGCGGGTCAGGGGTATTAGTGAGCCACGCTCACTTTTGTTCCAGTTGTTTTGAGATGGTTAGAAAAAAATTTGAACAGTGTATGTGTGATATCGTTGCTTGTGCATTCAAATAGTGTAATTTGATTGGGCATCTATCTCTGGCATCGTTGGCAAATGGGTCCAAGGATTTATCTTATCAGAATAAAGATTAAATACACTGGTTATCTGGGATGATGTTTTGGCATTATAGTCAACTTGTGGCCCAGGGGTAGCCTAGTGGTTAAAGTGTCGACTCGTCATGCTGAAGTTCCGGGTTTGATCCCCCACATGGGTACAATGTGTGAAGCCCATTTTCCGGTGTCCCCTGCCGTGATGGAATATTGCTTAAAGTGGCGTAAAACCAAACTCACTCACTCACTTTGTTGCCCAGTTGTGTACGGTGACACAGTTCATTGTCACATGGGCATCCCGTGATCATGGGTTTGAATCCCAGATCCTTTATCGGAAGATAAAAAAACCCCAGATCCTTCCTGGTCTGGTCTTGGTTTTTGATCTCAGTGGCAAATATTGAAATAAGATTAAAGGTAAAAATCTGCATTAAATGATGACAACTTAAATTATGACCCTTGGATTGTCAGCACCATTCCAGTGCTTGTTGGTTTAACCAAAGTGGTATATATCTACTTTTTCACTTCAGGCTTTGTTCCACATACTTTGACCTACTGTGATAGAACCAATATATTGTTGTTCAAAAGTGGGGTTATATCCAACTTACTTTGAATCCCTCTGTTTCCAAAAAGAGGATTATATGGAAATACATATTCAACAATGATAGATAAGCCAATTCATGATGTGTGTGAACTTTGTTGTGCTCTGCAGGCAGACATCTGGAGCATGGGCTGCTGTGTGTACGAGATGATGACGCTGCGCTTCGCGTTCGAGTCACCGTCGCAGCAGAAGATGGTGCAGAGGATCATCAAGGGCAAGGTCACAAATCTTTGGCTGCCATCTTGAATCTGTACATTTCCTGTTATAACAAAACAAAACTTATGTTGCATTCAACGGATCAAGTTGGGGGATGGGTTAAACCCCATGATGATGATGATGATGATGATGATATTTTGGCCGTTTGATCAGTATGTGACTAAGCTTCTTTCTCAGCTCCCTGGGGAGTATACAATGGTGCATCACATTTAGACATGTTAAAAGGCTTTTTGGAGTGTTTAAATAAAGAATTTACTTGTCAGCAAAGTTTTTGCAGGTACTATAAAGTTTAGATCTACTGGTGTCAGTGAATGTAGAGATGTTCTGGTGTATTGGACAGTTCTGTTCCGTGTTCTGGCAGGCCCCGAGTGTTCCGGACATGTACAGCGAGAGCCTGGGGAGGCTGGCTAACGGCATGCTCAACAAGGACCCACAACTCCGACCCCATGCTGCCGACATCGTCAAACAACTACAGGTGGGGCTTCTTTATAACCAAACTGTGAGCTTCTCAGGAAGCCAAGAAGTCTGAATCTAAGGATTCTGATTTGTTTTTAAACAGGTATCGGTAGCAGAATTTTGTGTGCAATAACATGCATCAATGTTTTTAGTTTTGGATATAATAAATACTTTATAATATTGATATTTCTTTCAATGGATTTATTAAACTTAAAATTTTGTGTTTCTGATCAACAATAGTGTCAATAATTCACAGGAATTTGAGCCCATTTTGGAAATGGCGACACCACAGCAGTCATACTAAACTGTCAGTTTGACTCAGCACTCCCCCATACATGTTTTGCTTCAAAGAATGAGGTACGATAAAAGCCCTTGTTGACAGGAACTACATAATTTAAGAAAGTGGCAAATTTAGAAATCATTTAATAATACATGAAACTTTAAACTTTGACATTTCCAGTAGGCTCTTACCCTAATACATAAGAAGTACCCCAGAAGTATGTAGATAACTCATATGTAATAGTACAAAAATACGATGCACATTATAGTCAACATGGGGGCAATCTAATTAAAATCAGATCTTAGTTCTCGCTACCACTAAACAAAGATCTGAGGACATCCAATTTGGGGTCACGACCTTTCATCCGACCAATCAGAGCGTCGCTTACCAGATCATGAAAGTGACAGTCGGAATGTGATTTCTTATCATGCAACCCCGAAAACTTTTTATACGGGGTATTCCGAACGATAGTTACGGGTTTAACGACTGAATCCATACAATCTAGACCATCTGTTAGCCATTCCAGAATGTTCTTGTGTTCAGGTTTCCAATTTTTAATCAAGAATATGTCAAAATATTTTTCGAAGCGTAGTCGCCAATTTGAAATTAGTGCCGTAAAGCACGAGTAAGCTGCCTTCTGATTGGCTAATGTCGACTTCTCGTCACTCATTCCATTGGTCAATCAAAGTTCACGCAAGGTCGGTCTGACATGACCCGTAATGGGATGTCCTCAGATCTTTGTTTAGCGGTAGCGAGAACTAAGATCTGATTTTAATGAGATTGATATGGGGGAAAACAATTGCCCATGTTTTACAGAATTAACATTCACTTACCGTATCACCTCCATTACATGCCTCTTTACCTCGACATTAAATTGCAAAGATAAAATAATGGCATGAATTCCATGCATAAATAATATCCAGCATTTATTCGAGGAAATAAGGTACTTCAAATACATACAATTCTTTATTGATATGATGTTTGATGTAATAAATGTAATAACTGATCTCTCCCCAGTCAAATGAAGAGAGACCCAGCTCTGGGGACATGAAGATCTCACCACGGAGCAGACGCCGTCTGTCAATAACAGCTCGCAGTGACAGCCGAGTAGACATGCCCGACCTCACGCCATCACTACGGTCAGACCGACACGCCATCGTCGACTCTCTCATGACGTTCTTCAGGCAGAACACAGCAACAGGTCTAGGAAACGGATTTGAAATTGGCGTTCTGTCCTCCACTAAATCTGCTCTGTCTAGAACTGTCAAAACAATATGGACCCGTAGCCCTAGCCAGGAGGAGACAACTCATTTTGTGAGAAAGTTTGGTACAGGGTTACATAATGGGGAGGATCATCATAGTGATGATATGGTGGACAATATTGGGTATGGGGAGACGTCTGACTTTCATGATACTGTGAAGAAGAGTCCCAGGAAACTTGATAAGACTGCCTCACAGAAATCCATGCTCAGAGACTATTATGAAGCTGTTGAAATGTATGACGATAGTTTCCATGACAACCAGCCTGACCCTGACGAGGTCATTCAATGGGCCAGGCAGAATCTGGCATCTTGTAAGGCATCGGCTGAACCTCCTTCCAACATGTCTACTGATAAGGTAAACAAAAACTCAAGTTAATTGGTTAAAACAAAAATATTATTACATGAAATCATGTTTATTTTGTTTACAATGTACAGGATATCAGTGTTGTGGTTCAAGTGAGGGAGTAGAGTTTTATGCCGCTTTTTGCAATATTCCATCTTTATTAGGGACAAACCATTTAATATTCCCCAAAATGCTTGAAAAAAGTAATTGTGCTTCTGACTGTTGAAAAAAAAAGAAATTGTCAGCCACAAGAAAATGCATTGCTGCAAGCTGTTTTTTGTAAATGCATTGCGTTGAATAAATAGCTGGTCTCCATACAAAAACCCAGCCCCCCCACAAATATGAAATGGTCGGTCCCTTACCCATTACGGCAGGGGGACACTATTATTTACTTAACACATTGTAGCCATGTGAGGAATGGAACCTGGGTCTTTGGTGTGAAGAGCCAACACCTTGACTACTAGGCTACCCCACTGCCCCTGTGGATCAAGCTTTCCTAAAATCTGCTTGAATTGGGAATAATATCTTAAAAATCAGTTCTATTGCTCTGACATGGTATGACCTTGTGTGATGAGCTGTCAAACTCTCCATCAGAGGTCAAGGCAGGTGATCCTTCTGATTTGACAATCAGCACCGAGGCTCCTAAACTTACCATATGAGAAAGCAAAGCATTCAGAGCAGCAAATCTGATTTCTGTATCTTTAAAAAAGAACATAAACAGGCAGTTCCAAATAGAGATGATAAAGACTGCACTGTTGTGTTGTTGTGGTTTTCTTGGGAGAATGGTCAAACGTGTGTACACACAATTAGTCATTGCCATGCATCACTAAATGACGGAGGGGGAGAGTGAGTGAGGGGCTACTGACATGATTGAACTGAACCTACTTCGTGGTCCTAAACATTTTCATACAAACTGAATGTGTAGCCAAATATTTCTTAATCAGAAGGTGTAAAATAGGCGAAGGGCTATGACAAGAAATGCAAATGTGATCTCAATTTTTTTGTAATTGGGATTAAAGTAAACTTGAAGTATGTTTCAGAGATTGTTATATTTTTCAAAAGTCATCAGAAGATGTTGTGATCATGCCACTGCCGCCACTCGTTTATCTGGTTTCATTGGCTTCGTAGTTTAACCTATATTGTATGCATGACATCTTGTGTTGAACATTAACTTTCCATTCAGTGGAATAAGACATACAATTCAGATTTGTTCCCCACTTTATGTAAATATACTAGGGTCGGCAGATTCTGTACACCAGTGGAACTATGTCTTGCCTTACAGAAGGATTATGAAACAGGAACTACAGAACAAAGTGATTGTTTTCTCCAGTACTTATAGCAACATGATATCCTGACTCTTGTTTGTTGTTGCCTTTAGGTCAAGTCAAGAGAACCATCAGATGCAAAAATGAAGACGAGAAAGAAGAAGAATTTCTTGAAAGGTATACGTAGGTCTTTCCTGAAGGACACTGCTTATGATTTACTCTAGGTCATAATTTTATCTTTTATTCATTCCAGATTTCAAAAAAGCATGTTTTAGTCTGTTTTCAGTCGTACAAGTGGGTATCTCTCATACCCTCACGTCTAGTCGCACGTTAGAAGGAAGCCAGAAGCTGGAATGTAAACATTAAACTTGTTTCCGGTCCTGTTGCGCACGCACCTCCCTATGACATGCCACAAATCTCTCAGCGCGCCTCTGAGCTGGTCGCTCGAGAAAGGCTTTCGCGGTAGACTGCTAGTTTGTATTCTACTAGTACTTATCGCTTGTCTACAGTTGTTGTTCTAATAAAGTAATAATAAATATGTCTTCCCTGTAGACTCCTGGAATGTAATCCTTGGTAATCCATTGTTTGTGTTCAACACGTGTTTCACTGTTTGACTTGATTATACACGTGGCAACATGTCTGGCATTGGTGCCTCGTATCTAAGAAAACTGTCTAAAGTAGACCCTCACAAGTATTGTCCTTCCTGCATCATTAAGGACGGGTTTCAACGTGTTCGTGGGATAAACGTTGTAAAGAATGTGAGCACTTGTCTTCTATAAACTTTAACTTGTATCTTCGTGCGTTGGCGAAGCGGACTGCTGACCAGCGCTACAAGCAGAGAAGGTCATCGGGTGGATCCTTGGACTCTGCACCCTCCACATCAGGCCCTGGGGGTGGCTAGTCGGCCACACCCATGGCATCAGTTGATAAAGACCCGCCTCACAACTTCTGTTTTCGACAAGACACTTGACCGTTCGCCTGCTGATGATACTACCCGCACGACTGATCTTCGTCAATCGGTTGATCGAGAGCGTCACTCAGCCTCCCCAGTTACGACGGGACCGGGTGCTGACGAGGACCATGAGGGGACTACAGTCCCCAGTCGGTCCGTATCTCGTTCTACCAATGATGATAGGGACGTCGTTCGGGACAACAGTGGACACAGAAGTCGTTCCCGTTCAAGTCAGGACGACAGGTCGAGTTCCTCGTCGAGTAAATAAGTACACGACAAGAGGGCGTTCATCGCCTTCGTGGTCGTCGGGAGTCCGATTCGGACGATAACTACGATGGTGATCGTAGTACTTCTACAGTTAGAGAACGTAGCCCCCTTCCCCATGGGGACGTGCGACGTACTCGCAGGGAATTTCTGGGAGTTCACCGTCGTAGTGAAGATTATGACAGAACGAAGCCCTCGTCTCACTTTCATAACGACCGAGCTTTGATAGCCCAGATCCCGGCGGCGGTCCTCGCCTCGACGGTGTCGACAAAGAAGGATTCGACTGCGTCGGGGGTCCATGGACTGTCAACCTGTACACCAGCTCCTTCATCTACGCCTCCACAATCGACGTTGACGATGGATTGTGACGACAGCCTCTCGGATGTCCTCGCCTAGTCCAAATATGTATCGGGCCAGAATACTACGGCATGTCGCCATGGTTACATCCACTGCACTGAACTACCTGATCGTCATGGCAGGACACTGTAACGGGCCCCGTGGTCATCGCAACAGTTGTTTGACGGTCGTACCAACGAAGTTCTGGACAAGAACTCCAGGTAAGCCGAGCGTGACACATCATTTCGGCTTCATACAACCTGTCCAGACGGCCACTGGTTTCGAACGCCCCACGACGACGTTACAGAACGAGAATGTACGTGCCTTCATGGTTGAAGATCAGTCACGTAAATTCTGACCGCCGGCCTGGGACCTCGATGTCGTTCTGCACAACCTGTCTAGTCAGACTTATGAGCCTCTAGATCAGGTCGCGTTCAACTTATGGTCTCAGAAAACGGTTTTCCTTCTCTCGCTGGCTATAGCAGCGAGAGTATCGGAAATACATGCCATTGACGTCGGTCGGATTACATTCGATCAGCGTAACCATGGCAACGTCCATCTTGGTCTCAGATGGGATTTTTTAGCGAAAAATCAACTTCCTGGCCAAGATTCGAGAAAGTTCCACATTCGTTCCTTGTCTGCCATTATGGGCCCTCATGATCACGCTGATCTCACCTTGTGCCCAGTTCATGCGCTTCATATTTACCTGTAGCGATCTGAACAGCGACGACAACATTTTCGACGGCTGTTCATACCGCTCTCAACCAATGCAAAGAAAGAGATTACACGTAATACTCTCTCTGAGAGGTCATTCTCAGATCTTGCGAAGCGCAAGGACTCGCACCTCCCACCTCCTCTCATCCGCACGAAGTTCCAGCCATAGCTTCAACATTAGCACTCCACAGTAATTGTTCGCTGCAAGCTATTATATGGAGGGCTGCTTTTGGAGATCTACTTCAGTGTTTGATTCGCATTATCTCAGAGATATCTCAACAGAAGATGTTGAAGGACTTAAACAGTTTGGCCCACTCGTGGTGGCACAACAGATCTCCCAGAAAAGACAGTGAATTTGTGCTTTATTCATTTTCGACTTTTTGCTCGACACTTTGTGACAGATAACAGGGTACAATAAAAACTGTTGGTGAATGTATGCATTCTTATGGTTTTTTGTTGTGTGCAGTACTTTGGCTTTTTTATTACGGTTATTCGGTGTTTGCATCGTCTTCCCATACTTTATAGTACTGCTCGTATTTTTTAGTTACCTTGTATACTGCGAGTTGCTCTGTAACTAAATTATGCGCCGACCACACTTCGATCGCAGTTCAACTGACGTGTGCAGTTGTCCTGTCGAATCAATAATTAGTTGTGTGTCGAAGAGCATTAGCCATGCTATTTTTAGTTACCTTGTCTATGGCGAGTTGTTCTGTAACTAAATTATACGCCAACCACACTTCGATCGCAATTCAACTGACGTGTGCAGTTGTCCTGTCGCATCGATAGTTACTTGTGGGTCGAAGAGCATTAACCATGCTGTTTTAGTTACCTTGTTTACTGCGAGTTGCTCTGTAACTAAACTATACGTCGACCACACTTCAATCGCAGTTCAACTGACGCGTGCAGTTGTCCTGTCGCATCGATAATTAGTTGTGTGTCGAAGAGCATTAACCATGCTGTGCGTTGTGATAAACAACTTGTCTTGTCCGTGCATCTGGTCGAATGTTCTATTGTCACTACAGGGGTGAGGAACTTGGTACATTCGACGTGAAAGAGGTCACTTCCACATTACTTTCCCAACCTTCCTTCCAGTGTTCTGTCGAATTCTACCCATTTGTACGACTGAAAACAGACTAATTGGTCTGTTTTCAGTCGTAGTTCCCACCCAGTCATCCCCACTGAGCAGTAATCCAGTCCAGTCCTGCTTGATGACTTATTCTTCAAGATTTGTGACATGTCATAGGGAGGTGCGTGCGCAACAGGACCGGAAACAAGTTTAATGTTTACATTCCAGCTTCTGGCTTCCTTTTAACGTCCGACTAGACGTGAGGGTATGAGAGATACCCATTTGTACGACTGAAAACAGACCAATAAAACATTGTTTTTAATCTGAAAAACACATATTTCTATCACTGCCAAATAGTCAAATTTTGAATTATTTATATTTTAAGAATATATAGGCCAAATATGTCATTTTAGTAGTTGAAAATTCTTGTGAAGGATCTCCAATGATGACAAAGAAGGTATGATCATGATAATAGAATCAGACTATTTTCACTTATTAACATTTTTTATTAACTTTTATACAATGATAAGATCTGTCAATTAGCTTCTGTCACTCACCAAGGACTAATTCTTGAAATCTGTAATCACATATTTTCCAATCATCATTGTAGGGATAGTAAGTTCTATATAATCACAAGATTATTATTACAGACTTTGTTTAATGGTTTCCTGCGTTTCAGTGATACTATAAAACAAATAATAAAATTGGTCTGGCTTTATTTCTTTCTTGTTATTTACACGAGAACTACTGAGACAGAATGTTTGGGTTGCTATCATGTCCATTATTGATTATTTATTACTTTTTCATGCAACAAATTTTTAAACAATTCCCAACACTAGTACATATATATACATACATGTAACGTAGCAATTACATTCCTGTAACAATGTAACAACAGAGATGCATTTCCATGTTCAGACTCGTCAAGACAATCTCTTTTTAACTTTTTGTTTTATGGATTGGAGCCGTGAACCGGAGCAAAAAGACCCAATCAGAAAATTAAAACATTTGTTTAGGTTTATTTTTTTGAAAGCTATGAAAACTTATGCAACTACACATATCTTACAAATTAAATGAACTATTGACTTTTTGAATGAAGTCAGCACCATTAAAATGTTCCAATGGATTGTTCCTCATGCTATCGGTCACTGGTTTGTCTTTATAAGACTTGTTATTATTAAGCCAGCATGAATTAGTTGTAATATATTTGATGTAATACATTGACTCATTCAAGACATGTGTCAGACCTTATCATGTTTTGTATAGTGAGTGAGTGAGTTTGGTTTAATGCCGCTTAAATTTGAACAGTATAACTGAAAAGTGTTTCAGTCCATATCACAGCGTTTCAGCTTGATGTGGGAGAATGTGTTCAAACCCAGAAACACAGCTATAGTGCTGACAAACCCAGAAACACAGCTATAGTGCTGACAAACCCAGAAACACAGGTGTAGTGCTTACAAACCCAGAAACACAGCTATAGTGCTGACAAACCCAGAAACACAGGTGTAGTGCTGACAAACACAGAAACACAGGTGTAGTGCTGACAAACCTAGAAACACAGCTATAGTGCTGACAAACCTAGAAACACAGGTGTAGTGCTGACAAACCCAGAAACACAGCTATAGTGTTGACAAACCCAGAAACACAGGTGTAGTGCTGACAAACCCAGAAACACAGCTATAGTGCTGACAAACCCAGAAACACAGGTGTAGTGCTGACAAACCCAGAAACACAGGTGTAGTGCTGACAAACCCAGAAACACAGGTGTAGTGCTGACAAACCCAGAAACACAGCTATACTGCTGACAAACCCAGAAACACAGGTGTAGTGCTGACAAACCCAGAAACACAAGTGTAGTGCTGACAAACCCAGAAACACAGGTGTAGTGCTGACAAACCTAGAAATACAGCTATAGTGCTGACAAACCCAGAAACACAGGTGTAGTGCTGACGAACCCAGAAACACAGCTATAGTGCTGACAAACCCAGAAACACAGGTGTAGTGCTGACAAACCCAGAAACACAGGCGTAGTGCTGACAAACCCAGAAACACAGGTGTAGTGCTGACAAACCCAGAAACACAGGTGTAGTGCTGACAAACCTAGAAACACAGCTATAGTGCTGACAAACCTAGAAACACAGGTGTAGTGTTGACAAACCCAGAAACACAGGTGTAGTGCTGACAAACCCAGAAACACAGGTGTAGTGCTGACAAACCCAGAAACACAGGTGTAGTGCTGACAAACCCAGAAACACAGCTATAGTGCTGACAAACCAAGAAACACAGCTATAGTGCTGACAAACCCAGAAACACAGGTGTAGTGCTGACAAACCCAGAAACACAGCTATACTGCTGACAAACCCAGAAACACAGGTGTAGTGCTGACGAACCCAGAAACACAAGTGTAGTGCTGACAAACCCAGAAACACAGGTGTAGTGCTGACAAACCTAGAAATACAGCTATAGTGCTGACAAACCCAGAAACACAGGTGTAGTGCTGACAAACCCAGAAACACAGGTGTAGTGCTGACAAACCCAGAAACACAGGTGTAGTGCTGACAAACCCAGAAACACAGGTGTAGTGCTGACAAACCCAGAAACACAGGTGTAGTGCTGACGAACCCAGAAACACAAGTGTAGTGCTGACAAACCCAGAAACACAGGTGTAGTGCTGACAAACCTAGAAATACAGCTATAGTGCTGACAAACCCAGAAACACAGGTGTAGTGCTGACAAACCCAGAAACACAGGTGTAGTGCTGACAAACCCAGAAACACAGCTATAGTGCTGACAAACCCAGAAACACAGCAAAAGTGCTGACAAACCCAGAAACACAGGTGTAGTGCTGACAAACCCAGAAACACAGCTATAGTGCTGACAAACCCAGAAACACAGCTATAGTGCTGACAAACCCAGAAACACAGCTAAAGTGCTGACAAACCCAGAAACACAGGTGTAGTGCTGACAAACCCAGAAACACAGCTATAGTGCTGACAAACCCAGAAACACAGCTATAGTGCTGACAAACCCAGAAACACAGCTATAGTGCTGACAAACCCAGAAACACAGCTATAGTGCTGACAAACCCAGAAACACAGGTGTAGTGCTGACAAACCCAGAAATACAGCTATAGTGCTGACAACCCCAGAAACACAGGTGTAGTGCTGACAAACCCAGAAACACAGGTGTAATACTGACAAACCTAGAAACACAGCTATAGTGCTGACAAACCCAGAAACACAGCTAAAGTGCTGACAAACCCAGAAACACAGGTGTAATACTGACAAACCGTGAAACACAGCTATAGTGCTGACAAACCCAGAAACACAGCTATAGTGCTGACAAACCCAGAAACGCAGGTGTAGTGCTGACAAACCCAGAAACACAGCTATAGTGCTGACAAACCCAGAAACACAGCTATAGTGCTGACAAACCCAGAAACACAGCTAAAGTGCTGACAAACCCAGAAACACAGGTGTAATACTGACAAACCGTGAAACGCAGCTATAGTGCTGACAAACCCAGAAACACAGCTATAGTGCTGACAACCCCAGAAACACAGCTATAGTGCTGACAAACCCAGAAACACAGCTATAGTGCTGACAAACCCAGAAACACAGCTAAAGTGCTGACAAACCCAGAAACACAGGTGTAATACTGACAAACCTTGAAACGCAGCTATAGTGCTGACAAACCCAGAAACACAGCTAAAGTGCTGACAAACCCAGAAACACAGGTGTAATACTGACAAACCGTGAAACACAGCTATAGTGCTGACAAACCCAGAAACACAGCTATAGTGCTGACAAACCCAGAAACGCAGGTGTAGTGCTGACAAACCCAGAAACACAGCTATAGTGCTGACAAACCCAGAAACACAGGTGTAGTGCTGACAAACCCAGAAACACAGCTATATTGCTGACAAACCCAGAAACACAGCTATAGTGCTGACAAACCCAGAAACGCAGCTATAGTGCTGACAAACCCAAAAACACAGCTATAGTGCTGACAAACCCAGAAACACAGGTGTAGTGCTGACAAACCCAAAAACACAGGTGTAGTGCTGACAAACCCAGAAACACAGCTATAGTGCTGCCAAACCCAGAAACACAGGTGTAGTGCTGACAAACCCAGAAACACAGGTGTAGTGCTGACAAACCAAGAAACGCAGCTATAGTGCTGACAAACCCAAAAACACAGCTATAGTGCTGACAAACCCAGAAACACAGGTGTAGTGCTGACAAACCCAAAAACACAGGTGTAGTGCTGACAAACCCAGAAACACAGCTATAGTGCTGCCAAACCCAGAAACACAGGTGTAGTGCTGACAAACCCAGAAACACAGGTGTAGTGCTGACAAACCAAGAAACACAGCTATAGTGCTGACAAACCCAGAAACACAGGTGTAGTGCTGACAAACCCAGAAACACAGCTATAGTGCTGACAAACCCAGAAACACAGGTGTAGTGCTGACAAACCCAGAAACACAGCTATAGTGCTGACAAACCCAGAAACACAGGTGTAGTGCTGACAAACCCAGAAACACAGGTGTAGTGCTGACAAACCCAGAAACACAGGTGTAGTGCTGACAAACCTAGAAACACAGCTATAGTGCTGCCAAACCCAGAAACACAGGTGTAGTGCTGACAAACCCAGAAACACAGGTGTAGTGCTGACAAACCCAGAAACACAGCTATAGTGCTGACAAACCCAGAAACACAGGTGTAGTGCTGACAAACCCAGAAACACAGGTGTAGTGCTGACAAACCCAGAAACACAGGTGTAGTGCTGACAAACCTAGAAACACAGCTATAGTGCTGCCAAACCCAGAAACACAGGTGTAGTGCTGACAAACCCAGAAACACAGGTGTAGTGCTGACAAACCAAGAAACACAGGTGTAGTGCTGACAAACCCAGAAACACAGCTATAGTGCTGACAAACCCAGAAACACAGGTGTAGTGCTGACAAACCCAGAAACACAGGTGTAGTGCTGACAAACCCAGAAACACAGGTGTAGTGCTGACAAACCTAGAAACACAGCTATAGTGCTGCCAAACCCAGAAACACAGGTGTAGTGCTGACAAACCCAGAAACACAGGTGTAGTGCTGACAAACCAAGAAACACAGGTGTAGTGCTGACAAACCCAGAAACACAGCTATAGTGCTGACAAACCCAGAAACACAGGTGTAGTGCTGACAAACCCAGAAACACAGGTGTAGTGCTGACAAACCAAGAAACACAGGTGTAGTGCTGACAAACCCAGAAACACAGGTGTAGTGCTGACAAACCAAGAAACACAGCTATAGTGCTGACAAACCCAGAAACACAGGTGTAGTGCTGACAAACCCAGAAACACAGCTATAGTGCTGACAAACCCAGAAACACAGGTGTAGTGCTGACAAACCCAGAAACACAGCTATAGTGCTGACAAACCCAGAAACACAGGTGTAGTGCTGACAAACCCAGAAACACAGGTGTAGTGCTGACAAACCCAGAAACACAGGTGTAGTGCTGACAAACCTAGAAACACAGCTATAGTGCTGACAAACCTAGAAACACAGGTGTAATACTGACAAACCCAGAAACACAGGTGTAGTGCTGACAAACCTAGAAACACAGGTGTAATACTGACAAACCCAGAAACACAGCTATAGTGCTGACAAACCCAGAAACACAGCTATAGTGCTGACAAACCCAGAAACACAGGTGTAGTGCTGACAAACCAAGAAACACAGCTATAGTACTGACAAACCCAGAAACACAGGTGTAATACTGACAAACCCAGAAACACAGGTGTAGTGCTGACAATCCCAGAAACACAGGTGTAATACTGACAAACCCAGAAACACAGCTATAGTGCTGACAAACCCAGAAACACAGCTATAGTGCTGACAAACCCAGAAACACAGGTGTAGTGCTGACAAACCCAGAAACACAGCTATAGTGCTGACAAACCCAGAAACACAGGTGTAGTGCTGACAAACCCAGAAACACAGGTGTAGTGCTGACAAACCCAGAAACACAGGTGTAGTGCTGACAAACCTAGAAACACAGCTATAGTGCTGACAAACCTAGAAACACAGGTGTAATACTGACAAACCCAGAAACACAGGTGTAGTGCTGACAAACCTAGAAACACAGGTGTAATACTGACAAACCCAGAAACACAGCTATAGTGCTCCAAACCCAGAAACCAGATTTTTTGAAAATATCTGTTCATGCTTAGTTGTCGGTACACATGCTTTGCAAATCCTGCAATTGAACTAAATCTGCACGGCAATTTACGAACCCGATGTCAATTTCTTTACGAGATTTTGATTGGACAATTATTCCATGGAACTTGTCACAAATGTTTTCTGTTCTTTCAGCTGTCTCTGAGAAGAAGAAAACCTCGATGTCAGAGAAGGAACCATCTGCCCAAAGACAGGTTAGTTTTACAACATGTGTGAGTACGTAACTCCATTCTAGTATGTAACTCAAACCTTCATCACCATTTCATGTGAAGAAGGGGGTACACAAATTGCCTAGTGGCGAAGGGCAGCACAATAGCTTTGCAGAGTTGTGACCCTTGGTTATCCTCTTGATTGCAGATTCTGACCTGAGATTCATCTTGATTGTGATCCATGATCTGCCTACACCGACCTGTGCTAGTTGGTTTCACCTGTGTGGTAAACACCTATGACATGTGTCACTGTGGACTTTCCTCACACATTAAACATACATATCATGATACGATAGTACATATGTCTATCAAACTCTATACACCCATGTGACAGACCTACTCCCAAGGCACAGGCGTCCACTAGCCTTTTTATCAAAGTCTTGGTTCTACCCTTGCCACATCAAGGCCACTTTTCTTGGCTCGACCCTGGCGCCACCTCGCATAGATCACGAATTGTGCGCCTTGTAATGAAAATGCGATATCCAATCAGATCCAGGTTCTTATCGTGTATAGCTTCAAGAAGATAGCGACTACCATAGGCGACAACCTAGTCGATCAGATAACGTAAAGATTCGCAAATTCATCCCTGACACAAAAACATAGGCAATCGTTGGGGGTTTAAACGATGATAAGGGCGTGTCAACAAAGACAGGCAGAGGTAAATCACTTTCATACGAAGGAGCCAAGATGTCTGGTTAAATGTGGATAAGTGTGATATATACGAGGGGCGTTCAATAAGTTTTGCAACTTGGGCATTTGTGTTTACATAAACAATGTCAACTAGTGGCAGGTGTGACAGTAGTCATAACATCAGATTGACACGTGTCATAACAAGTTCCAGACACAACAATAAGTTAGATGTGATGGCTTCATTCACCTAAGGGTGGTCACAATCATGGATTCTCTCAAACATGAACAACGCGCTGTAATAAAGTTCCTTACATGCTCCGGTTCACAAGTTGAGAATTGCACTGGCCGCCATATGTGAATGTAGATTCGAACAGTTAAATCACCCACCCTACAGACCAGACTTAGCCCCCAGTGACTATTTCCTGTTTCGGCAAATGAAATCTGCCCTACGTGCATGACGTGGAAGACACTTCCAGGATGGCGAGGACATAAAGGCTGCCACTGTGGCGTGGTTAGAGGGCCAGTCTGCGGATTTCTATAAAAGTGGTATTAAAAGCTTGAAGGACAAATGGAATAAGTGAATTGAAGTGAATGGAGATTATATTGAAAAATAAAAGTGCAAAAGATATTCTGCGACTTGGCCTTATCTTGAAGTTGCAAAACTTATTGAACGCCCCTCGTATGTATGGATAATATCATTCTTTATCCATTGGCACTTTCATTATTTTATCCACTGAACATTGTTCTTGTAGAAGCCGCCACTACAGAAGACACTGTCTGTTGATGGCCCAAAGACTGTTACTCTCTTCACTCGGAGTCAGAAAGTCGTCTTCAGGAAGGAAGAGTTCCTCGCAGGGGACGCTGACCCCATGGAGAGAGAGTTGTCTAAAAGTCTGGACGGGGACACGGATATTGTGAATATAGGGAGGTGAGTGACTGTAGGGGACATGGATATTGTGAATATAGGGAGGTGAGTGACTGTAGGGGACATGGATATTGTGAATATAGGGAGGTGAGTGACTGTAGGGGACACAGATATTGTGAATATAGGGAGGTGAGTGACTGTAGGGAACATGGATATTGTGAATATAGGGAGGTGAGTGACTGTAGGGGACACAGATATTGTGAATATAGGGAGGTGAGTGACTGTAGGGGACATGGATATTGTGAATATAGGGAGGTGAGTGACTGTAGGGGACACAGATATTGTGAATATAGGGAGGTGAGTGACTGTAGGGGACACGGATATTGTGAATATAGGGAGGTGAGTGACTGTAGGGGACACAGATATTGTGAATATAGGGAGGTGAGTGACTGTAGGGGACACAGATATTGTGAATATAGGGAGGTGAGTGACTGTAGGGGACACAGATATTGTGAATATAGGGAGGTGAGTGACTGTAGGGGACACAGATATTGTGAATATAGGGAGGTGAGTGACTGTAGGGGACATGGATATTGTGAATATAGGGAGGTGAGTGACTGTAGGGGACACAGATATTGTGAATATAGGGAGGTGAGTGACTGTAGGGGACATGGATATTGTGAATATAGGGAGGTGAGTGACTGTAGGGGACACAGATATTGTGAATATAGGGGGGTGAGTGACTGTAGGGGACACGGATATTGTGAATATAGGGAGGTGAGTGACTGTAGGGGACACAGATATTGTGAATATAGGGAGGTGAGTGACTGTAGGGGACACAGATATTGTGAATATAGGGAGGTGAGTGACTGTAGGGGACACAGATATTGTGAATATAGGGAGGTGAGTGACTGTAGGGGACACAGATATTGTGAATATAGGGAGGTGAGTGACTGTAGGGGACACAGATATTGTGAATATAGGGAGGTGAGTGACTGTAGGGGACACAGATATTGTGAATATAGGGAGGTGAGTGACTGTAGGGGACACAGATATTGTGAATATAGGGAGGTGAGTGACTGTAGGGGACACAGATATTGTGAATATAGGGAGGTGAGTGACTGTAGGGGACATGGATATTGTGAATATAGGGAGGTGAGTGACTGTAGGGGACATGGATATTGTGAATATAGGGAGGTGAGTGACTGTAGGGGACATGGATATTGTGAATATAGGGAGGTGAGTGACTGTAGGGGACACAGATATTGTGAATATAGGGGGGTGAGTGACTGTAGGGGACACGGATATTGTGAATATAGGGAGGTGAGTGACTGTAGGGGACACAGATATTGTGAATATAGGGAGGTGAGTGACTGTAGGGGACACAGATATTGTGAATATAGGGAGGTGAGTGACTGTAGGGGACACAGATATTGTGAATATAGGGAGGTGAGTGACTGTAGGGGACACAGATATTGTGAATATAGGGGGGTGAGTGACTGTAGGGGACACGGATATTGTGAATATAGGGAGGTGAGTGACTGTAGGGGACACAGATATTGTGAATATAGGGAGGTGAGTGACTGTAGGGGACACAGATATTGTGAATATAGGGAGGTGAGTGACTGTAGGGGACACAGATATTGTGAATATAGGGAGGTGAGTGACTGTAGGGGACACAGATATTGTGAATATAGGGAGGTGAGTGACTGTAGGGGACACAGATATTGTGAATATAGGGAGGTGAGTGACTGTAGGGGACACAGATATTGTGAATATAGGGAGGTGAGTGACTGTAGGGGACACAGATATTGTGAATATAGGGAGGTGAGTGACTGTAGGGGACACAGATATTGTGAATATAGGGAGGTGAGTGACTGTAGGGGTTTACCTTGGTAGCAGTGAATAGTCCAGGGGACCCTCAGAAAAAGATTTGGGAGTCTGAGGTATGAAAACGAGAATACTGTGACCTACTGCCAAACAATCTCATTAAAATCAGATCTTAGTTCTCACTATGCTAAACAAAGATTCGAGGACATCCCATTAAGGGTCACGTCAGAGCGACCTTTCATCCAACCAATCAGAGCGTCGCTTACAAGATCATGAAAGTGACTGTCGGAATGTGTTTTCTAATGATGCAACCACGAAATATTTAACACGGGGTATTCCGAACGACAGGTACGGGTTTTATGATTATATACATACAATCTAGGCCATAACTAAGCCATTCCAGAATGTTCTTCTTATCAGTTTTAATTTTTTTAAAACGAGAATATGTCAAAATATGTTTCGAAGCATAGTCGCCAGTGTGAAACTAGTGTCGTAAAGCTGGAGAAAGCTGCCTTCTGATTGGCAAATGTCGATTTCTTGTCAGTCATTTCATTGGTCGGTCAAAATTCGCAAAAGTCGTTCTGATGAGACCCGTACTGGGATGTCCACAGATTTTTGCTTAGCGGTAACGAAAACTAAGATCTGATTTTAATGAGATTGTACTGCTAAACAAAGTAAAGAACTTTCTGTGTGAACACTGTTTTGGAAATGAAAGTGTTGAACATGTATGGAAGCATGCATGTCTTTGAAACATTGGACCGGTGGAGTGTGCATGTGCACCGTGCTGTGGCATTCGTCAATGTGCCACGCCAACTTAAGCTTGACACATGCTCTGTTACATACTGATCATACAAGGATTAAGAAGGTTGTTTTCGTTCAGAGAGACATCTTTACTGTCAGTCAGCAAGTCAATGTCAGAACACAGGATCCTGTAATGTAGTACACAGAGTGGTAGAACATATAATGCAAGGGAGGTAATTCATGTTACACCTCTGTAGTTGTTTATTTATTTGTTTGTATTTTAATGCTACACTCAGTAGTATTCCAGGTATATGAGGGCGGTCTGTAAATAATGGAATGTTCACCAGACAATCCAGTGATTAACATCATGAGCATTGATCAATGCTTTTGGAATACTAATACATCCTGCGGGCACAACAATGTTGAATCAATGTAGCAACAATGTTGTGCTTCAATATTGAAATAACGTTGAATTTTGGTTGGATTAGAAAATTGAAATGTCGACGATGAATCAATATTAGATATCAATGTTGAATTTTGGATGTGTATTGGTTGAATATTGGATGTGTATTGGTTGAATGTTGAATGTGTATTGGTTGAATATTGGATGTGTATTGGTTGAATATTGGATGCATTGATAGATATGTATACAGTCCTGTATATAATCAGTTCAAATGGACTCACAAACTCTACTCTTAGTCTGAGTTGCACCTTCTTAGATAGTAGAATGTGCTGACTGAGGTACAGGGTCCCTCTCGTGTCAAGGGCATGCCAGTTTCACAACACTGAGACCCGTACCATACATGGTTTATTCAGGGTGAAATGCTGCATTTTGAGTGAGTCCAATGTCACTGTTGGTCTGTAAGGTTCCCACAGGATCATCTCCATCCTCTATGCAGAGTTACCAGACTTTAGTAGTTTCCATTCTCTCGAAATCACGATATCTCATCATTCTCGTCAACGGTAAAGAGGACCATTTCCATACAAAACACCAGACAAGCGATTGTCCGAACAAATGAAATTTTATTTGATACTGCTTGAAAAACAATCACAAGCTTTGAGCAACACGTTGACATGGAAAGATTCAAAGTAAGACTTCAATTGAGTAAGTGCAAGCCATTTCACAGTCGAATATAGGAAAAGTGTCCGTGAGCACCATTCTAAATGCCTACAGTCTTTGGTATATCCATGTTTTGGCACAATTTAGACTTTTGGCACATGCCTCAAATGGTCTCCTGTTGTTGAGCTCTGAACACACCGAATTAATAATCTCAGTCTTCCCACAACGGGACAAAGGCTGCATTATCTCCCTTGATTCATCAGACGTCTGCTCTCCTCGTCCTGTTGACTATCTGAAAAGAGGAAGAAAAACTCCTATTAACACATAAAGATGACAGAGATGATGAATTAACTGAAGTTAAAGAATAAAATTATTATGAACATATATCATGGCAAATACAGCTAGATTGCGGAACACAGTGCAGCAACAGTTGTCGAGGGACAGTGTAGTCCCAAGTCCCATATGATGGCCATATCATACTTCTTACTCATAGGGTTAGAAATAACTGCATTCCTAAATATCGTATGTGCATATGTGCAAATATCACTCTCGCCACCACTGTATTGTTGCAGTCATTTGGACGGCATTGTTGACATCATTTTAATCTGATTGTGATGTAAGGTCGGAATGACGTCACACTTGAAACATCAAAGCTGAAGATTGTTGACATCATTCGACAAATTGTGGTTTTCTAGGACGGTGGTGGTGATCAGTGCATGTTTCAAAAGGGGAGCTCAAAAGGATTAAGACATAATGGGCAATAAAGAAATTATAACACTCACATGTGTATCATACTGATTTTAAGAAACTTGTGTAACTATTCATGTATTCTATGGTAGATATATCTGAAATCACAATGCCCCAAAATATCATGCCCCAAAATACCAAATGTCTATATATTTATGATATAAAGTAATTGTTTAAATCATTATTGCTTGGTAATAAACATATATGGTCGATAGTCTATTAATATATTGATTCCAATCAACCATAAAAATATGTAGTTTAAACAAAGTCGCTGAATTTGTTTTTATGAAATGTTATTGATTTTAGATTACTTTGCAATATTGAAACTATGTCAATATTAAACATGTTATCAATAACAATAGCCCAATGTGGAATCAATATTGAAAAGAATGTCGTATTTCTTCTTATTTTCAATATTGAAAGGCCAATGCTAAATAGTGTTGAAAATTACGTAAGATTTCAACATATTTTCAAATATATAAAGGATAGTGTTGAACCAATGTTGAAAATAACGTAAGATTTCAACATAATATTTTCAAATATATAAAGGATAGTGTTGAACCAATGTTGAAAACAATGGCAGATTTCAACATATTTTCAAATATCAGAAGCACATTGTTGAAACAATGTGTAGGGAAAGAAGTGTAGGGAATTGATTGTAATATCTTGTTTGATAATTGGATCAATCCAATCAATCGATTATCAAAACTAATCAGTTATCTTCATTTGCTTGTTTTTCAAAGTGATGATTAGGAAAATAGATCACACCTAACAAAAACACCCAGACGCTTTAATGCTCCAGCACTTTAAGTTAGTGCATGTTATGTTTATTAAAACATGAACCATTTTTATAAACCATTTATTATGAACCTATCAAAACTTTACTGTAAACAATTCACACAAAAATATGAATACTTTTGAACATGTTGAAAAACCATATATCCTTTAGACCTCCGCCGCCCCCAAACCTACCTCTGGGGCGGTCGGGTAGCCTAGTGGTTAAAGTGTTGCTCGTAACGCCAAAGACACGGGTTCAATTCCCAACATGGATACAATGTGTGAAGCCCATTTCTGGTTTCCCCCGCCATGGTATTGCTGCAATATTACTAAATGCGGTGTAAAACCTCACTCACTCACTCACAAAACCAACCTCCAGATTCAAGGAATGTGACTAGCCTTCACCTGATGCTAGTCATTAGAGGCGATTAATGAGTATCGGGTGGCCACAATGTGAGATGAATGTGTGTCATCCTGTCTGGCCCTGACTCCATTATTTAAAGTCCGCCTTGACATAACCATAAACTACTCCCTCATTCACAATGCTTCGAGAACACGGACAAAATCTACTTGTCCATGTGGGTAATCATTTCAGCTGTGTATATGCATATTAATATTTCAGTTTGTGCAAGTCGGACCTTGGCGAGGACATGCTTAAACGAGCAAAGCAGCTGGTGGAAATTGTGAAGGATGAACGACTGCTCCAAGTAAGATGGGATGGTTACCATGGTTACACATAATTTCATCGACATCACAGAACCATACGTGTTATTTTCCCTAATGCTCATGTTTTGCAATTCTCTCAACATGCTCAAACACCTGTTAGATCAAACGCCTAAGGTTGGTGAATTGCCCTTGCGTACAATGTCAGATGTTTCCTAATCAGACTCGCTATATAAGTGCAATAATCTTGGACGCGACGTTAAACCCAATTTCACCTCACCTCACCCCACTAATCAGACTTAAATATTTACAAGTTTTAGTGTGAAGTTTACATGGTATACAGCTTTTCCATTGGATGAGAGGCCGGTCACATGACCATGAAGCTGATGTTCAAAAGCAGGGAAACATATTTTGACGTTCATGTTTTTCACAAGACTGTGTTCCATATTCCATATTCCTGGGGAATCCCTTGGAATTTCCTGGCATGAATAATACAGACGGTGTTCGAAATAAGCGCTTGCCTGTAGGCCCATATCAGGTAGATCTCTTGTCGGACCTGCAGTTTCAAACTTGTATGGGTCGATATGGCCTGCAGGAAACTTACATATCGATTTATTTGACACGATAAGCTTGAGTTTCTGAAATGAGGGTCTGAAGAGTTTAGTCAGGGGCTCCAGCGTCTGAAGTCTGTCGGTCCGGATGGCAGCCTGCAAACACTGAATGCAGAACCATTGTTTTTGATCAGTTGGACACTATATTGTACTCAGGGTTGTTGCATGCATTGACTGCATGATAGAATATCCTTCTACAACACAGAGTAGGTCCCTGGTACCCCATACTGGTGGTGAGAGCAGACACCAAGGATCAGGTCGCATCAGCTTGGTGCCTGGCATATTGCCTATATTGTGTGGGTTGTTGCTTATAGTCAATCATTGGTGTGCCTGGTTTTTGTTTGTTTGTTTGTTGTTTAACACCAAATATTCCAGCTATATGATGGCGGTCTGTAAATAATCAAGTCTAGACCAGATAATCCGGTGATTGATATCATGAGCATCAATCTACGCAATTGGGATACCATGACATACTTCAACCAAGTCAGAGATTGCTGAAGACCGATTCTTGCCCAGATGTTCACTGGTAGGTCTGGCTGGTCCAGACTTGCCGATATGATACATTTGGCATATTCATGACTGGTATAAAACAACATTCACTCACTCACAGCTTGCTGGGGGCTGCAGATTCATGAATCACTCGGAATGATAAAGATAATTTTTGGTCCACTGGAAATGTTACATTTTCAGATCATGGATTGATTTGAACTGAGATGTTCATATGGTTGAAAACTAGCATATTGTCTCTCTGCCACTTGCCACCTTAGAACTTATGACATGTTGAATGACAGAAGTTTCGTTAAGATGAACCAATATCAACTTTTCACCATATGTTTGTGCTGTCTTTGCCCACATCTCCTAAGAAAATAAGTTTATGTCATGTTCATAGTTAATAGTGTTAGAAAATTACATTTAGTTTAGACCTGTGAAGATCCGGGGTAGAATAGGTCTTCAGCAACCCTTGCTTCCCGTAAAAGGCTACTATGCTTGTTGTAAGAGACGACTAACAGGATCGGGTGGTCAGGCTCGCTGACTTGGTTGATGCATGTCATTGTATCCCAATTGTGTGGATACATGCTCATGATGTCAATCACTGGATTGTCTGGTCCAGACTTGATTATTTACAGACCACAGTTATATATCTGGAATACTGTTGAGTGTGGTGTTAAACAACAAACAAACATTTAGTTTCACATATCTGATAACTTTCATAATGATATCCAAAGTTTTCTAATTTCTTAAACTGTGCAGATGAAACATGCATGTTCTAAACCACTGTCTCCGTCCACAGGTCCAGCTGCAGGACCTGCTTGGTTGGCGAAACTACAAGAAATTTGGAGCCTTTCTCATCAGTGAAGGACGGACATCATAGGCAAGGAATGTTGCTGTAGGTTAATATCTGGACATTGTTGTCATGGAAATGACCTATGCAGGGCGACATACAGACAAGGTGGATATCCCATGTTGAACAACAGAAGCTTGATTCCTAGCTAACCCCATGGCCATTATGGAGAGCAGTTGTGTCCAGTTAAAGGATGAAGTGGATGAGAGGATGATCATGATCATGTTGCCATGGAGATGTGTGTCAAATGTGAGATGCAAGATACAGTTTAACTTCACGGAAACCTTTTATGGAGATCGATGTGTGTCAAAGTCAGGAATGAAATCAGAAGAAATTCACAGGATTTTGTGACTTTGAAGATGAAACTGTGTCAACTGTTGAAACCTTTTATGGAGATCGATGTGTGTCAAAGTCAGGAATGAAATCAGAAGAAATTCACAGGATTTTGTGACTTTGAAGATGAAACTGTGTCAACTGTTGCCAAACTTGTGATTTCTTCCCCTTGAATTTTCTTTTCATGAATGTTATGTGGATGAATATAGCTGATTTTAATACCGGGTACTTCAGGACTGAACATTTGCAGGAGGCTGTTTCACGTGTACTATAATGCCAATATTGTATGATGTCATTGTTGTTAATGACATCACAAAGTTTAGTGCACATGTTGACTTCAGCAAAGGTTGTTAATAGTTCAGAAATTTCATGTTTGTTTGTTTGTTGTTTAAGGCCGCTCTCAGCAATATTCCAACTATGTGACAGCGGTCTGTAAATAATCGGGTATGGACCAGACAGTCCAGTGATTGACATCATGAGCATCAATCCATGCCATTGGGATGCGATGATATGCATCAACCAGGTCAGCAAGCCTGGCATTCTAGTAGTTGGTAAGTAAGAAAGTTAATTTGTGGATAACAACTTCTGGTGTATTGCATTTTGTGATGCTTTGAAATACCTGTCCATTTTGATTGATATTTTTACATCTCCTATTCACAAGCATTCACTCAGAATATATAATCCACAATTCTGTGTAACACATTGGATATTTTCAAAACCTTTGCTGCAATACTTTCCATCAGTTGGTGTCACCCTCAGATATATAAAATCCTTTTCAAGTCATTGATTTTGATGAAAATGATTGTACCACAGAATGGATCTGTAATCACATTTTTAACAAAGACAGAGTTGACAAGTGGATTTGAAATTCTTTTATTCTTTAATGCCAAATTTCGGTACAGCTGCAAGTACCTGTAGAAAGCCAGCGATCAACAACTGGGTAGGCATGGTAATGTAGCTAATTGGCAAATAAAAACACACTTTTTCTTGAAGAGGTATTTTAAATGCCATGGTAGCAGTGCAGACAGAGTTTGGATTTCAACTTCCCTAACTCTCTCTCACTTCCTGGCCTCATCCCTTTGCTTCTTCATCCCTCATCACTTCTTCACCCTTTTTGTTTGTTGTTTGTGTTAATCTCTGTATATATATGGTACTTGTTGTCACCTTGCCTGACGCTCGGCATTAAGGGAATAAAACTATATATATATATATATATATATATTTAAGGATTGACTGTGTATTTTTTTCGGTTCATTGAGGTATGAATCGAAAAGCCGATATGCAAACTGTATGAATCCGCGTAGCGGATTCTTACAAAAGTTTGCACATCGGCTTTTCGATTCATACCTCAATGAACCGAAAAAAATACACAGTCAATGCTTATAATTAAATTCGACAACGTAAAACATGTTTTATCTACAATAGTTTAACCCAAAACAGTTGCATATATCAAAACAGACAAAAATGACGACATTGATAAACATTCCAGGTGTACGAATACATACAGTGGCGTGACATGAATCAGGTGATCGTTTAATTTATGCACATAACTTGACACGCCTACACAGTCAGTAGCCAATCAACGGAGAGTGGGATTAAAACAATGTTCATTTGACCTGTCAATTAAGGCAAGAGGCGAAAAGAACTGCAACAATCAGACTGTAACGAACCGGAAGAAATATGTCCGAGAGAAGGCGGCAGTTTCAAATAACATGGTCATTTACTGCGTGATTCAAACATTACTTCCCTGATTACGGTAAATCACAGTAGGAGAAATGCTAGTTATAAATGAAACCCGAAGACATGAAAGTTGACCCGGGGTGAGCGGGAAAAAAACAGGCGAGCGAGCCTGCACGTTTGCTGTTTCATTCATTCTCGGCCTTCGGTTTCAAAGGGTAGTTTGGACAATGAATATGCATGAAAGTCGCTAAATGTCCTGTGCATGACGATACACGTGAGCAGAAAGGGAATTCCCTCGACTGTAATATTGGGATTCCCCGACATTCCGAAGTGATAAAAGTAGTGCGCCGCGGTGGGCGTGGCTTAATTTATTACATTCATTGGGAAATGAATGCAATAACACGTGACCAATTCAGCTAATCAGAATGCAGGAATTTCCATGAACACAACGAAAATTTAATTATATATATATATTGTTTTATTCCCTTAATACCTTGCCTGGCGCTCGGCATCAAGGGAATAAAACAATATATATATATATAAATATATATTGTTTTATTCCCTTAATGCCGAGCGCCAGGCAAGGTGACAAGAAGTACCATCCTTTAACAGTTTTTGGTTTGACACGGCTGGGGGTTCGAACCATTGACCTGCTCTCCAGGATGACTCTCAAACTTTTTGAGCTATTAGTAACAATGGAGTCGTATTATAAGGAAAGAATCACAAACATGATGATGCCCTTATTTTCTGGGTATAAACCTTGCATTGATATTTGAGTGTTGGACTGTTAATCTGATGATATTATTTCTCTCCTCGTCATCTGTGTAATATAAGACGGGAGTTATCACCACAGAGTGCTGAGTGCTGGGACGAGTCCAAATTTACTACCTGGGTACCCGACACCCTATTATCTGTCCCTATCCGGAAAACCCGCTATAGGTCTCAAGAGTTTGGCTCAAAATGTCCAAATGGGATTTGTTTTACAGCAACCCTGGCAAAATTTTTTTACAAACACGTATAAAACGATCTGATCATGCATACACAGAAGTTAATAGACGCTTTATCCTTACTTGAACATATTGAAGTCAGAACGAATGTTTGCGTTGTCAGATAAAAATGTGAATTAGCTATATTTGTAGTGTAATCATAGAGTTTTATTGTTAATGTCATTTAACAGTTTATCATGTGACTAACCACTGGTCCGGGTAGTTGTGTGGGTACCTTGGTCCTACTCAGGACCCACCAAGTACCCAAGTTACCCGCCCCAGTCCTTCTTTAGACATATCAAAGGCATTAGAGAAGATAACATAGCTGAGAATTATGTATTTTAATACGAAATTATATATTTTACATTTCAAACTGTGGCTTCATGTATGTCCGGATTTTGTTTCTTTAAACTTACTTGATGAGCACTATTGGCATTATTCGTACTTGTTCATTGTACATGTATTTTAATCCACTTGTTAATATGGTTGAAATGCTGAATGTGAATTTTTAACATGGTTTTATTGTCCTGAATAATTTGCTCAAATGTAATATATTTTGTTTGTTTGTTTCATATTTCATAGGACATTGACCGATTCTCTATTTCCTTCATGTTGAGTAATGTTGTCTTTTCATGAAACGGCACGGTCTGGTAGCCTAGTGGTTAAAGCGTTCGCTCGTCACGCCGACATGGGTACAATGTGTGAAGCCCATTTCTGGTGTCCCCCGTCGTGATATTGCTGGAATATTGCTAAAAGCGGTGTAAAACCATACTCACTCACTTTTCCTGAAACATATAACATTCACAAATCATATAAGAACTAGGTTTGGTAAAGTCACTTGGGTCTTTTCTGTGTTTATGCTCAGAAATATTGCTCCTAGCTTAAAGAAGACACAATAAAGATCGTTTGGTTCACGTTGGAGGAAATTTATGAAAATGTTTGATAATATAATCAAATTGTGTATGAAATATCTTATGAATTTCTCTTTCTATCTCTCTCTCTCTCTCTCACACACACACACAAGCATACACACGCATACACACCACACACTTTGCATACAAGGAAGAGTATTTTAACATCAGTTACCTTGTTTAGTCAATATTGTCAGTGATTGTTAACAAACATCTGTGAAGGTGACTTTTTTAATAATAGTTACTAGTCAATTAAATAACACCTTCTGTTTTCTGTTAACAAACATTTATGATACACAACAAAGTATGCATATTATAAATACTGACAGATTGATCTGTAAGCTGGTCAGGGCTTACCACGGTATGTTCAATGGTGTTTTGGTAGTACCAAGAAGTCTGACATCAAGGTGAGCAATAGATAAATCGTTGGAATCGAGACACTTGACCCTCATCTCTGTAACAGCCTATGCTGCACACAGTAAATATGCTCTTTATACCACAATGATGCAAAATAACATTTATACTTTAGTGGTTGCATGATTAGAAAACATATTCCGCTGACAATGTAACACAACAATATGAATATTTCATTTTTCATTTTCCTACGTGTTCGTATCGTTATCTATCATGTATACGTAGTTGTCCAATTTTCGATCACGAACATTTATGCTACCTTATTTCGTTTATCCAACATACTCGCTAATCCGACATAATCATATGCAACCAACAATGTCGGATTAACGGGACTTGACTGTATTTTGTTGTTTCATTTCAGTGTAACATGGTAATGACATTCATTTTGTTTGCTTGTAGCAATAGTTCGAGAATTGTGTTTTAAACAAAGAAATTTGGCAGTGGGTAGCCTAGTTGGTAAGCGTTCACTCATCAAGTTGAAGACTCAGGTTCGATTCTCCACATGGGTACTGTTACAATGTGTGAAGCCCATTTCTGGTAAAAGCGGCGTAAACTCACTCTCAATTTGCACAGATATATCTGCATTTTTCTCATAATCTCCAGCAGAGGATTGTCAACAATAAACAAACAAAACTCTCCACTGGACATCATCAAAACGTTGGATAAGAATGTTTGACACTTCGTCAGCTTCTGCTTTTCATGTTCACAGCCACAATCAGTGCCAGAATTGGAGTATCTTGTAGAATCTGCCACACATTGTAATGGTGTACATGTCTTGTCCAGTCAAGTTTATGTGTAAATTTGACCTCAGTGTGAAGAATTCGGGTTCAGATCTGCTCTATTATGATTCTCGGTTTCCTGGCACCATACATGCTTGTGGGTTTTCACAAAATTGCCAATCCTCCAAGACTTGAAGCCAGAGTTGTTCCACCAATAAACTCAAACACTGAGATACTGTTGAAAACTGTTTTAGGCTTGACAACAAAATCGTGTTCGTCCTCATGGACCAATACCAAAAATATCCTCGATTTTTTTTGAGAATGCTAAATTTGGTTCCAGTTATTTTT